ATAGGCTATGACCTCCCTCAATCACCCAGAGGTTGCCAGCAGCTGTTAACTGAGATACAGCTCAGGTTTGTGTCTTCCCAGTGGATCTTCTACACTTTTCCTGTTCTATTACTGAAAACAAGAATACAGTTGGCAGTTGCTGGAAGGAGTGTTAGGAAGGTAGATGAGCATACTGTAAGACCAGCTGCCTTATCCTAAAGAGCTTTCACAAATGTAATTAAAGAAACTGCAGCCAGGCGTTGGTGGCGCCTACCTTTAATTCCAGCACTCGGGAGGCAGAGGCAGGCGGATCTCTGTGAGTTTGAGACCAGCCTGGTCTACAAGAGCTGGTTCCAGGACAGCCTCCAAAGCCACAGAAACCCTGTCTCAAAAAATCCTAGGGGAAAAAAAAAAAAAAAACCTGCCTGGGTGCTCTGATATTCATAGTTGAAGTGATTTAAATGCACTGGTTTTAGTCCCTGGGCTCAATTCCGCTCTCTAGCTTTGGGGTCTTCTGTATGTATCACAAGTCCTTGTCTGGGTGCCTATCATTACCTGTCACTTCTGGCCACAATCAATAAATCTGACTCATCTTAGCTCACGCATGCTCATATCTGTTCTTATTTGTTCTATGTAGGGAAGGACACGCTAGGCTTATGACAATTAAAAGTATTTTACAACTATTCTTTCTCTAAAAGGCATCAGTGAAGGGACAGTGATGTATTCCATATCCCAGAAGAGAAAGAAGTATTTTCCTGCTCATATTTTTTCTCTTCTTCTCTATTGGGGTTTTTTGCAAAGTTGAATGTCATCTTAAGATAGGTGATTGTGATTAGGTCTCATAAATACATGTCATTGTACCTCTCCTTTCTCACTTCCAGTTCCTAAATAAAGGTTCTTTTCTTCTTGCAGAGTTCATTTTTAATTATTAGACTTCGTTTTCCTATGTCATCACCGTGTAACAACATTAAAGAGATGACCGTCTTTGAAAGGTAATGTTGATAGCCATTACCCTCCATCTGCACGGAAATTGCTGGTGTGACTTCATATTCTCCTCAATGATACAGCTGGCCATGCAGTCAGAAGAGAGAGGATCTATTAAGGAACAGGAAGTGGGCTGTCACATAGCAATGAGAAAAGGTAATTGCTCCAGCAGACTGCTACATAAATAGACATGCGGATCCTTTCTTAATTTTACTCCCTGAGACTAATGACTGACTCCACTGAAACCTGTAGTGGAAATCATTGCAATAAAAATAGCCAAAACATTAATAATAGGACAAGTGAGAATGACAATGGCGAATAAGCATTTGAACCAACAAGCATCCTTACCAGTCCAGTCACAAAAATAAGCACTGTCTCATGGCCTAAGAAACTATGGACCAGCTGGACATGGGCTATATACCTACAATCCTAGCATTTGGGAAAGTTACTATGACCCTGTCTCCAAAAGTGAAGCGCTGGTTGTAGCTCAGTGGTATAGCACTTACTTAGCATGTGCAAAGCCCTGGGTTTGATCTCTAGCACTGAGCAAAGAATAGAGGGAAATAAATCAGGAGCTGTCTTATACGCAGCAATTAGTGAGTAGGGAAATTCGACAGTGGCCCTCCAGATTCTTTGTTTTTATTGGCATCTATACATAATAATGTAAGACCCTCTCAAGTTTTATACTTTGGCATTCCATTATTCATCATGTGGGTGTTTCTTAGTTCAAGCAACAAACTGTAAAATTTGGCCTGATAAGATGGATCATCATCTTTCCACTTCCAGCCAAGCCTGATGACCAAGCAGAGTTCAATCCCTGGGACCCATATGGTCAAAGTATAGAATCAACCCCCTGAAGTTAACATGAACACACACACACACAGACACACACACACACACACAGATACACACACACACAGACACACACACACACACACACACACACACAGACACAGACACACACACACACACACACACACACACAGACACAGACACACACACACACACACACACACACACAGACACAGACACACACACACACACACACACACACACAGACACAGACACACACACACACACAGACACACACACACACAGAGAGACAGATACACACACACACACACACACACACACACACACACACACACACGCGAGAGAGAGAGAGAGAGAGAGAGAGAGAGAGAGAGAACAAATGTAATTAATTAAAAAACAAATAGTAAATTCTCCCTATGTTAAAATTTTAAAGTTCTGAAATGAAGATTCAAACTTTTAAATCCTCTGTAAGCCCATACACTAGTAACTTTGAAAATATGAATATCCCACTGAAATCAAGGATTTAATCTAGCTTATAAAAAAACAAATAAAATCAGACAAGATGTTTGGTTGTTGAGAAAGAGTGTCTTAGTTACTGTTCTGTTGCTGTGACAAGGTAATTTACAAAAGAATTTATTGGTCTCACAGTTTCAGGGGATCAGAGTCCAAGACGGCAGAACAAAGCGAAAAGCAGGAATATGGTGGCAGGGATAGCTAGAGCTCACATCCACAAGTAGGAGGCAGAAAGAGAGCATCCTGAGAATGGCATGAGTATTTTACAACTGCAAAGCCCACCCGCAGTAACACATCTTCTCCAAGGCCAGATCTCCTAAGCCTTCCCAAACCTATGGGCACCATTAGCATTCTAAATACCACATGGGAATTCACTTTACCATGTTGTTCTGGGACTCACCATGTTGCCTAGGCTGGCCTTGAACTTGTGACAATCCTGTCATAGTCTTCCAGTGCTGATATTATAGGCATGTATCACCCTGCCTTGCAAAATTGTTTTTAAGCTGAGATAGTGGAGGCAAAAAGGGACAGAAAAGCAAGAAACTAAGAAGAATAAATGCTCAGAGTAATACAAAGAAATGTTGCATCAAAGCCCTATAGAAGTGGAGAAAATGGGTTACCCTCAGCTCTAAAACAAAAAGGTAGTTTAAGATTCGTGGAGACCATCACATTAAAAACAATGGTTGAATGATATATGTAAGAAAGATGCCATGTAATAAAGTGATTGACAATTACAAAAACAGGCATATAGAAAAGACAACAGCCCACCTTTATTTTTCTTATTTTTTCAATTCAATAACGGCTCACAACCATCCATTATGAGATCTGGTGACCTTTTCTAGTGTGCAGATATACATGGAAGCAGAACGTTGTATACATAATAAATAAATAAAATAAAATAAAATAAGACATGATAGCCGGGGTGGTGATGGTGCATATCTTTAATCCTAGGACTCTGGAGGAAGAGGAAGAGGCAGGTGGATCCCTGTGAGTTCGAGGCCAGCCTGGTCTACAGAGCAAGTTCCAGGATAGGCTCCAAAACAATACAGAGAAACCCTGTGAAAAACAAAAACAAAACAAAAACAAAAAAATCCTAAACCGAACAAACAAAAGAAAAGAAAAAAGATATGATAGAAAAAAAAAGGGGGACTTGTGTCCTGAAGAGATCGTTCAGCAGTCAAGAGCATTTGTTGTTCTTGCAGAGAACCTGGGTTCACTTTGCAGCACCCATGTGGCCCACTAACAACTATTTATAACTCCAGCTCCAGAGGAACAAATGTCTTCTAGCCTCCATGAGCACTGCAAATATGTAGTTCATAAACAAAATGCCAGCAACATGCCATACACATAAAAAATAAATTACTTTTTAGAGGACAATTTATCAAATCTAATTCTCCAAAGAAAAAGACCTTTGGTGCCTGGCTTGATCCAAAGGCAAAATTATAAATTTATCATTGAATAAGAAGTCAGCACATGACATCCAGAGAATTTCACCCAACACACAGACTTCTGCAAGTAGACTTCTAACATGGATCAGAGGAAGGATGCTTAAAAGATGTTACCAGGTTCAAACCCAGGGTATGGGTATGCCATGCAACAAACTAGGGGAGAGAAAACCGAGGAGTGAACAAAAGCAAACAAACAAGTGCCTGTAGGAAGCGTTGCTAGGGCACCCTCCAGAATGTTCTGAATTCATCTCAGAACATAGAGACAGAAAAGCAAGACAATAGCCCACCAATAACGACTGCACTGGACTAGAAAGCTTCAAGTCTGAGGGCCAGGGTTCAGATCCCAGCCCCAAGCACCAAGCTTGATCCACGTCCATAACACTGCACTGAAAGGGAGAGAGACAGAGACGAGAGGGTTTCTGGGGTTTGCCGACTGCCAGCTCAGCCTACAGAATGACACAAGGTACAGGTTAAGGGTGAACTCTGCCTCAAAGGAATTAGGCAGAGTGTGATGATGTGCACAGGGACACAGGTACCCACCTACACCCACACCCACACCCACACACACCCACACCCCCCCCCACACACACACACACGTACATCCACGTAAGAATGACTGTATGAGGGGCTGGAGAGACGGCTCAGGGGTTAAGAACACTGCTACTCTTCCAGAGGACCCAGGTGGCAGCTCACAGACATCTGAAACTCCAGTTACAGGAGATCTGCTCCCCTCCTCCCCTCTTCTGGCCTCTGTGGGCACTGCATGCACAGGATACACAGACATACATGCCGGCAAACACTCACACACACAGTCTTGGGGGCCGAGAAATCCAAGATCAAAGTGTGGATAGGTACAGTGAGAGCTGATTCTTAGGGCCATCACATGGTGGAAGAGCAACAAGTTCCCTTAAGTATATTTTATAAGGGTGCTCATCGGCTCCAAAGTATTTCCTTTTAGGAACCAATCACCTACCCAAAGGTTTTACCCTGTTGGTGATTAGGATTTCAGCATGTAGATTTTAGAATACCAACATTGTGATTCTTATTTGTTGTGTGGCAGTCCACCTGGCAATTAGATAGCGAGTTCTTATTCCATTCAATATCCTATTATGAGTTCCAGTTCATGCAGTGCTTACCTAATGGCTGAGAATGATTTTTGTCATTGCAACTATGTGAAATGCAATGCAGAAGGTATGATCAGAATGATAACCAGGAATGTCTGGGGGATAATCTAAGGCTTGATGAGGGAACTGTTACTCTTACCTACGTGGAGTGGACTCAGCCAAAGGAGACGGAAAGGTTTGCTAGGAAAGAGGACATCAGGGGCATCTGGCCTCTCAGGCTTTACACATTGGAACCACTGTAATTTCACATACCGTGCAGGCCTCCAGAGAGCCCTGATGAAACAATAAAACAGGGAAAAAAGGAAACGTGGAGCTGTTTCAGTACTGTGTCTAGAAGATGCAGGGTAAAACCAAGCAGGAAAAGATACCAGTGTAACAAGCAGGGGCTAGGACCTGGCTGGAGTCACACTAAGGGGTTGCTTTTCTTTTCTTTTCTGGATGACACATACTCTATTTAAACCCAGCAGGAAGTTTCCCCTTGATATCCCGACTCTGTAATTATAAATACAGTGTAACCCAAATTACATAGAATTAACAAATCTTCATTTAAAAGGAATTACTGGCAATTAAGACCTAATTCCTTGACAAAATAACATACAGTAGATTTTAATTGATTCTAATCCTTCCCATGTACTGTTTGTTACAATTAATACAAGGTCAATTCTTATTAAAAACTTTTAATGAAAATCCATCAGTTGTCTTGAACTTTGGTTTTTTATGATCTAGTTATTAAATTTTGCCAAGATTTAATTCCTCATAGTCACTTTTAATGAATCAGGTATCACTTTTAAGTACTCTCTATTTTTTAAAGATTTATTTATTACATATACACTGTTCTACCTACATGCCAGAAGAGGGCACCAGATTGAATTGTAGATGTTTGTGAGCCATCATGGGGTTGCTGGAATTGAACTCAGGACCTCTGGAAGAGCAGTCAGTGCTCTTAACCTCTGAGCCATCTCTCCAGCCCCCAAGTATCACTTTTAAATCCCCTTTCTTTTTTATTTTGTGTCAGTCATGCTCATAAATTATGTTCTCTGAGATATGAGTTTTAATTATTTTAGCTAACCCATGAGAAAATGTTGGACTATCCTCCTGTCCAGGTCTCAACTACTCTGCAGTCATAGAACCCCTATTTATGCTTTAAAATATAGAGCCCACCAATGCCCTTCTGTTCATGTGTGTCATAGTTATCAATAGTTGTTAACATTATAAATCAGAAAAACTACTAAATGCTAACTTAAAAATGTAATGTGAACACTACAGGCAAACACAATATTATTGAAAATAACTTTATAGAAGAGTGGTATTCACAATTTTTTCCAAATATTTTATATGTGTGTGACTTAATGGAAGACAGCCCAGTTCCCTTTGCTTCTCTCATTCAGACTGTGAGATACTGAACACTTACTTCATCAGCTTCCGAACTCCCCCAGGAAGGCAACAGACACCTCTGTTACGCTATGGAATGCTTTCAACCTAATGCACCCTCAAAGGGTCCTGGCGAGCCTCAGAGATGTCTAAACCAAACTTTGAAAACTACCGATGTCTTGCAGTAGCTTCCAATACAGACGGTTCCCTTACCATGTCACGTTAGGTGGCAAGAAAGTATTGTTTTCATGAGTACATATTTTAAATGCTCATTAGGAAAAATTCCAATTGATGATTAATTGCATTTAGAAAAAGTTGCAATTACGTTAAAGGCACAATGAATCTGTCCCAATATAAAGAAAGACCTTCATTTCTACATGTCCAGACGACCCACCAAAGCGTTTCCAATTTTCTGTATTTTTTTCCTATTTTTACCGTAAGAGTGTTTTACCTTCCCTGGGAAAACTATTTTACTTCACTAGTTGTATTGATTCGCAAAGTCATAGCAGTGGTGTGTGAAAAAGATTTCGGGGGAGTAGAAAGGATTTTTTTAAATTTTCTTTCCGAGACAGGGTTTCTCTGTGTAGCCCTGGCTGTAGACCAGGCTGGTCTCGAACTCACAGATATCCTCCTGCCTCCGCCAGCCGAGCGCTGGGATTAAAGGCGTGCAAGCACCACAGCCTGGGGCGGGGTGGGGGACAAAAAGCAAACCACATACCAAGTGCTCAAATGTGCACACTGTGCAACGGGCCAGCCGGGGTCGGAATCCCCGTTGTAATGTTTACCGGCGTGTCACTTAAACGGAGGTATCACTCCTTTGCAGGCCTGATCAATAACCAAGAGCAGCGCCCTTGAGCAAACAAACCACACAGGCTTGCACACACCCCCGCCCGG